CAACATAAATGTACTAACGGCAGAACGGTGTGATAAAGAAATGAAGTATCTACCCATCTCCAATCCTGCGAGAGGTAATGATGAGAAATGAAAAAAAGAAAGAGAGAAACACACACTATGAGTAGAGTCCCTTTATACCCAGAGTTAAGACAACTCGATTATCAGCTGACTGGCAGCCGGCCTTGGCTGGCCATGGAGGCCGAAACGAGTGCACCCGAACGAACGATATTGAGGGATAAGGATCAGGAATCCTGCGATGTCTGTCACACAAAAACAACAACATCAACAAATTGATCAATTAAAAAGAAAATGAGATTGGTTTGTGAATAATTTCTTTCATTTTGGACCGATGGAAATGACAATTTACTCTTGATAAACCACAATTAGGTGATATTTTCATTATTCTTGTTCACATTCGAGGTACCGCCATCTTGGTGCACTCGTTTCGGCCTCCATGAGCGAGAACCAATCAGAATTGGATTTTTTTTTAGGCCACTTTCAGCCGAACCAAAAGTGAGTTGTCTTAACTCTGGGTATAAAGGGACTCTAACTATGAGCTGGGATTTCAACAAGAGCCTCAGCTATCGACTATGCCATATCAGAAGAAACATATCACGCATTCTAGTTTTTTACCCTAAAATATGGATTCATAGCAGCAAAAATTCACTAACTTTCACTAACTTTATCTAAAACCTATTAAGATTTCGTAAAGTACCTGACTGGTTTACGGTCCCTAGATACTTTCATGATGCTGATAGTCGGTAATTATCACTGAAAAACATTTTTCTTGAAATATTATTTTGATTTAAAGCGCGTTTCTTGTAGACATTTTTATCCGTGCAAATTCAACTCAACGTCAGTTTTTTCAGTTAAAAAAGCGTCGTTCTGCTATCGTTCAGTTTAAAACGATAGCCAAACAACGTTTCTTAAACTCAAAAAAAAAAAAAAAAAAAAAATTATCAACAAGAAACGACGCTTTAAGTCAAAATAACATCTTAAGAAAAATTTATTTTAGTGATATGTGAGCGTAATGCATGCGTTTTCCCAACAGGTAAAGGCTGGAAAGCTTACAGTTCCAACAACGCTAACTCTGTAAAATTAAATGGGAATATTCTTAGAAGTTTCTCCAATAATTTAAACCACTCAAGGAGGACTGAGCATCAAAAATCGCCATAGACAATGGACATCCATGTTGAATTTTCTAAATGTTCAGATTGTATTTCGGCAAGAGGTAAATACAAAGGTACTACCTTGGTCGCTGAAACTTGTCCCATTGGTACCTTTGTCTCTTAAGCGCCTGGAATATAATTTCGTGGTTTTTTTTCTTTTCCTAATTTTTAGGGTTTCAATAAAGCATCGATTAATGATACAAACACTCCTCTATTCATAAAATAAATGGACCTAAGTATGTTATGAGGTATTCAAGATGCCAGTAATTCAAACGCAAGTGGAACAATGAATTTCAGATACGATACAATAGGTAAAAATAAAATATGCATTTTTAAAAGATAAAACTGAAAAGCAATGAATTACGTCAAGTAGACTTCAGACCGTTTGTTATTACAGAAAATTGAGTCATTTTAAAATGTCAACGACGAATAGGGTTGCCTGGAAAACGTCCACTCAAATATTTTCTAGGGATTTTTTTACACCATTTCTGCAAAATTTTTCATCATTTTTATATCAGGAATTTTCAGTAAAAATACTCTAAGTAGGTATCGGAAAACGCACTTATACTTGCACGCTAATATCACTGCTGTCCTCCAACTAACATTCCACGACTGAATTAAAGTTTCTTCAGCTCGCTTTATTTTTAGCTATTATAATCGTTCACTTAAAAGTAGATTAGTTTAAATCCTTTTAGAAAATTCTGACAAGGTACCTAAGTGCTAGAAAATTGAAAAAAAGGGGAAAAGATGAAATAGAGCTGCAGTAATTTCGATGCCTCGATGAAGACCGTCCAGTACGGCTACTAATAATTTATGTTATTCCTGGGAGACGTTCGATTTGTTTGATTGGGAAATGCGAAATTCTGATCATGTGCCGGGGGTTTTGGACTTTTGTGACGCAAGAAATTTGTAACAATAAATTTTGACAGCAAAGTTTTAATTGGTGGAGGAGTAATTTTGCCACATATATCTTAAAAATTAAAAGCGTAGTTTTTCATAGTGCAGCAATTGAAATTGAGTCTTCCTCATTGATTGTGATCGAACTGGCAGGTGTTTTGGCGATTGGAAGTAAATAAATTATTAATGATTCTTTTCGGAAATTATTTTCGTAAAAAAGATTCAGAGACCGAAATTTTAAATATTTCGGTGATGACACAAGATAATTCTGTTGCTAGGAGGCAACAAATCGAGTTACAATTCCACGGATTAAGGATTAATCATCATAATTTAATTAGATATTTCTTACTGTTGAATCAATATGATACAATAATGAATTATTATTTGTAACGTTACACTTGAGGCATCATGGGAAACCCGTCCACATAACTCTCAATGTAATTCACAATTTCTAAAGCTCTGGATGCCATATCTGGCGTTGAATTTACTTGAGTAAGTACCTGCCTATCAATTTTTGTTGAAAACAAACACTATTCAAGCGCATTGATAATGTAGATAAATGACTCATTTTTCCCCTAAAATGTAAACAACTCGTTGGATTTTAGATTTATTTTTAATTTTTCTTTTGAGGCAAAAGTCAAATTGCGATGGACTAATGGTAACAGCTGTATCAAAAAAAAAATCAAACTAGCGAGCAAGCACAAAACTTAAATAATGCACAAAATAACTGAAGCCTTAAGTAAGTATGTGAGAGGATAAGTTATACTTTCGTGATCCGAGAAAAACATGTTTCAACGTTAAAACGTACCTGGATACAATGAGTATCATGGCTAATAGAAAATTGAAACTAATACTGCAGAGCTGAAAGCTTAATTTTTGGGATCAACTTATATTGCGAAGTTTCCTTGCAAAAAGTTTTGCTCAAAATCACCAAAATTTAAATTTTTCTGAGTATTTTGAAAATGACAGAATATATACAGCAGGTACCTAGTCATGTTTTTCTGAGGGATTGCTAATTCTGAGAAAAGACCAGAGAGTCGACCAAATTCACATTTTAAGGATATCTACAAAAATTGGTACAGAAGTTAGATGCACGAGGTAAAATTTACACATTTGCTCTCCTGACCCTTGATAAAACTCGCCTTCGAAATACCTAGGTGCTTTAATTTTCATGGGAAAAACTCGATTATAAGGGCATTTAAACTTCAGCTATCAATTTAATTCTTTCGTCTAGTGGGTGATTATTTATTAAAAAAAATAAAAAAAATTATGACTAGCTGCCATGGTCCATGATATCCTCATGTTTTGGATTTAATTGCTCTTTTAAATTCTATGAAAACGCATCCAACAGAACAACCGGGTACTGAAGGGCTAAATGAGTGAGTGGGAACGAAAATACACCAACTCGAAAAAGCGAAAATAATCATAGCACACACAAAACTGCCTAGTTGGTGAAGAGGTTAGTCTAAAAAAAGATTTTTGGCAGCGAAAAACAAGTACTTGAGGATACTTTAAAGGTCCAAGTTGGAACATTTGCTTTAATTTCAATGACCTTTATGAAAATTCACTGTCTTCAATGAAAACTGAGTAATTTCGAGTTACCGAGGCAGTGTGTTTTCATTCTCACCGATTCAAATAGGGATCGCAATAGTTTTTATTAAATACAATATTTAATTTTTCTCCCAAGTTCTTACATTTTGACGAGGAATAGGAGACAGGAAGGTTTATATTATGTCTTTGGACCAAAAATTACGTTGCTTCTGAGTTTATAAATTAATTTTTTTTCTTTGAAAGTATATTATTTCTTAAATTTTTCTGACTTTCTTAGATTTCAGGATAAATAGTTTCACTGTAAGATTCTACACAAGTAAATACCTATACCTCCAAATTATGATAGTCAGGCAATCATCCTGAAGCTTGCACATTTTCCAGTTTTTAGAAAAGTGATCGCTTCATCATTTTGCGCTGTATTTTTAATTTTTTTATTCTTTCCACAAAGATGTAATGTCATATTTTATCTGAGTGTTGCTAAGGAATCAAATGATTTTTTATAACGAAAACGAACGAGTCTCTCGGCTAAATTTTTCATTAAGTTTCATCTAGAAGACACTTAGGATGAAGCTAAGCTATCACGCAGAGCTACCCAGATACCAAACGTAAAGGGACACTTATTTCAATTTTGGTGGCTAAATGTCATACCTAGTAACTTGGGCTTTAGCTTTCTGGTAGCAAAGTTTTTTGCCCCTTTGAAAACGAAAAATGAATGTTAAGAAAGGAATCTTCAAACCAAAAAAAACCTAAGAACACAGTTCAACGTTTCAAGCATTCTCAAAATTGCAATAAATAAATATGAATTAGAACTGATGTGGAAACAAAAGCATATAGTTTACTGGCAAACTAAGACTTTGAGACATTAAAGATAGGAATCAGAATCGTAAATAAGTCAAGGTCACTTCAAAATAATTGTAAGAAGGAGACCAGTAAAAACGTAAAAATAACAGTTTCAGAGTGCGGAGCTGTTTTGTTTTAAATAGAGGAATTAAAATATAATGCGAGTGATAGAATTTGAGCGGAGTTTTGTGGATATTTAACTACAACATTTAAGTAATTAAGATGAACTAACTGGCAGGAGAAAACTCTATGAAACGTATGGATTTTGGATTCAGATAGAATCGGTCTATATCAGCAGCCAAAAGGGATAATTTAATACCCCAGAAGTTTCGCAGTGTTTAAAGCTACATTGTGAGATATTAGTAGAATTATAATTGGTGCAACTTGGCAGAAAATATCCCAAGTTATACAGGTAAATTCTCAGTTTAAAGTGGGTTGAAAAATTCAGATTAGCCATGAAGGGTGTATCACACAGGATTCTGGCTTATCAGCAACACATGACAAAATGTAAACAAAAGAGTTAGGTTATGTTGACATCCTTACCTTCTTCATGATTCCGGTTTTCCGCTTTGAGAAAGTAGTGTATCTCCTTAGTTTATTCTCAATGTATTCCATTTTAATCTTAACACGACCTTTAGTTTTCTTCCCATTGGAGGGTGGCGACCCTTTCTGGGTTGAAGGTGAATAACTTTCGTCCACTATGTCCGAACCACAATCACCCGTCATATTTGGTATGTTAGATCTACTCACTGGGTCTGAATCAAAGCACAAATCCGAATTCGTCCGTTTTAAACCGCGATTTAGACCGGCACCACAATTCGTGAGAGAAGACCTTGGTAATCCAGAGGTTATTGAAGTCGACGGCCGGGTATGAACACTACTAGTATAAATTTCGTTGGCAGTATCGCCGCTGAGTAATGACATGTTATATCCCATGCTGAACCGGGAATCTCTTCCCCCGCTTGATGGGGAATCCATAGTGTTTGGCACGCACTTAACAGAACATTCCTTCAAACTTAAAGCAAAATCGAAAACACGGCACCGGGAGACGAAAGACCACGAGCGAACTTAACCTCTATCACAACTTTCCGCACATCGCTTGATGCCGCAGCACCATCAGACACCGAACTGAGGTAGAGCGTAATTTGACCTGTGCGCCGGAGTGTTTCTCGCAATCATTGCGCCGGAGGAGAAAAGTAGTTCTGCTTCTACTTCTTCAACTTACACTAATAAACCATATTATTTCCTGATTAAAGTCTTCAGATTAATTTTCCTTTACATGTTTTATTCGCTTTAATCCTGTTTTATGTTTAACTTTCGTTATTTTGGATATGATTTTAAATATACTTCGGTGGCGGATGAACATTAGTGCCCGCGCGCACGGTTTCCCCTCCTCTTCCATATTTAGAAGTGGATGTAGCCAAATTAGGAAAAGTTCACCTAATATGGCAAACATAGATCCTCCCTCTCCTCATGTGTTTGAAGTTTAATTCTCATTTGTCAAATTTGAGCTTTATTCTCTAAGTACTCCTCTTCAGCACACGCTTGAACTTCGGTACAATTTCTTATGATGGGGCATCAGAGTCATAAAATGATCGAGTTGGATAATGATACCTTTTAAAAAAAATTCCTACGCCCCAAAAAAATTTAAAATAAAATTAAAAATATAAGCAGACTACTGCAAAATCGGAAACTTATCAATGTGGTGCCCTCGCACCCCCCCCTCCCACCAGGAAAAATCATCGCGCTGTCAATTTGATACGCACGTCACCACAATCATGCGAAACTTTTTTCTGTGATAACCGAAAATAATAACAATAATTTTTTTACTTCGCCGATTCTCTCTTATTTCTTTTTTAAACTTTGCAATAATTCCAAAAAAAATATCAACAACATAAGTCGAAAAATGAGGCGTTTTAACTTCCTCGCGGCCCACGCGCAAAATGTCTAAATGAAAATCAGTCTTTAACCCGAAAGTGAGAGGTATCAGCCAAGCGAAAAAGAAAGTACAGTAGGAATGCGATTTTATAGTGTAATGCGATAAAATTTACCGCGTTAAACAGAAAGAAACCAAGCCACATTGGCTATTGCCTTTGAATGGGCAATTCAATTTTTTACATGAGAACAGTTATGCGAATTTGTGAGCTTTCGGTAAATTTTCTGCTCAGTACGAAGCAAATTCCTTAGAATTCTTAAAGGAATCCGCACCATAGCTATCTTGTAAAAAATTAAATCGTCCAGTTGAATTTGGCAATAGCTGATACGGCTTGGTTCCTTTCTGCTAATAACGCTATCTAGAAATCTCTTCCGACCCATGGGCAGAAAGGTTGCGGAAAGGGGGGTTGTGGCGCCGATACCTTTGCAGAACACGTGAAAAGTGATCAAATTTCGCTAGCCAAAGTGCGAAACTACTTTGCTACGTGCAAACTGCCTATCATACTTTAATTTTCCATTGGACGGCTACTCAACGTAAATCTTCAAAAATGTCTTTGATTTTTCTGCTCTGTTAGCAAATATTCCGTATTTATTTCAAGTTCTACAGAGTAGACGGATTTCTGTTCGAAAAAATAAAAAAGGTATGAGCGGGGCTTTTGAAACATCGCAATGGTGATACATGGTTTTTCACTTTGGCCTTCGATTTGGAAGTTCTTTTCATCTAACTCAAAATTAATACTTTAGAACTGAAACAGCACTTAAATAAGTCTATACCATATAACTTTTAGGAAATCATGCATATCAACGGATGAAAGTGGAAGAACGCAAATCAAATTGCATACTCAGCGAGATGCAGGAGCTTAGAATGATTGCGATATCGGCAGCCGAGTAACTGAAGTAAGGGTGCCTCACGGCTTGTCCCTATGACCTGGGTCAGAAGTCCCCTACCATATCGCAAATCATTGTTTGAATACGAGTAAACTTCTCTCCTAAGATGTGATGAGCATTTATTTTCTTTATCTTTATTCTAACTTCATTAATTTTCATAATATTACAAATTCTGGTGGAAGGGGAGGGGAGGGGGGAGTAAGTGGCATTCGTGGGGGGCCCGGACCCTAAGTCTGGTACCAGGGCCCGAGATGGGATATAGTGGGCCTGGTCATGACACAAACTGGCGGTTAGAGTGAGAATTACCACGGTGCACCCACTACAAAACGGCTTCATGCAACTATTCGTGCTCATCGGATGTGCGGACTGCATATTCAAATATATGAAGGCGCTTCAGGTGCTCTTGTTCGAGAAGAAATTTGTTCAGGAGCACTTTTCGTTGAATCGCTTGTGAAGAGTCATGTTGCAAGGAGTAAGAGGAGAAAGAGGGATTTCCAAGATGGACCTGCGCTGCTCATTTTTTAGTTGTGAGCGCCCTTCGCTCCTCAGAGCAAATCATTTCAGTTCACCACACTCAAGCCGAGTGCAGAGGGAAAGCCAAACTGCCTCCGTTGTTTCGTTTACTCGTATACAGCGTATGTATTCTTGGGGTAGAAAAAATCACGTCTATCATCCAAGATAATGTTTGTACTCCTTTCCTTTTTTTAAAGTCAAGAACTATTAAATGTGCACACGTGAAAACTAGGCTTGTTGAAAAGTCGCTGTAAGATTTTCGGTAGCTAATTATTCGGTAATTCGGTAGCTCGTGAGTGTACCGTAGGAAGGTTTTCCGAAGAGAACGAACACAGGTCTCTGTGAATCCAGACAATCGCGAAAACCGCAAATACCTGCGATAATATGAAAAATCTGCCGAAAATTTATAGTGCTCTAAAAAATTCTCGCGGCTCCTCGAAACTTCTCAAAAATAAATTCACTTAGAGTGAGACTCACCACGGGGAACCCACGACAGAACGGCTTCATGCAACTATTCGTGCTCAACGGATGTGCGGGTTGCATATTCAAATATATGAAGGCACTTTTGGCAACGAGAGAAATACGATATCGACGCGGTGAAACTACCAGACCACGTATATCGGTTTGCGACGTTGTAGACTTCCTGTCATACTTCATTTTTTAAATTGAAAACCACTCAACGTCCCCGCTTGAAAACTTCCATGTTTTTTCTTCTTTGTACCAGGAAAACTCTGTGAAAATGTCCAAAAATGATATTGAATTTTTCTCCTCCAAAAAAATAAAATGGGGGAGATTTTTAAACACCGCAAACGAGGTACGGGGTCTGGCAGTCTCACCGTCGATTTGTATCAATAATAATGTCCGATTATTTCTCCAGGTAGCATTATGTCGTAGAAAAGTGGAATTATTTTTACGGCAAAACCAAAATTAATTTAGGACAACGAGAAAATCAGCACTGGAACCACTCACCGGGTGCTCTTCTTGATTGGATCGAAAAATTCCAAAAAGAGGCAACTTTTTCGGCACACATCCGAAACGACCTGAATCTGCTGATGGAAGCTGCTAAATATGCTCGCTATACAAAGATATCGTCTCTTAGACTTGCTTAAGCGATTCGTTCTCCTATCTACCAAACTCGGTATAATGAATCTGAAAAGAATCCGGAGAAAATGCAGAGATTTTTCCTAGAGGAACATTCTGCGAATCTTAGACTCCACGAGCTTACTCTTGTTCACGAGGATCGGCGGATCCAGCAATTTGTCAACACCGGATTTCCTCCCTTTAAACCTATGGAAATGTATCGATTCTTTTGGAGGGGCCAGGTGCTCTGACAAGAGTCGATTATTTAGCATTAGTTTAAATGGAGGAAATCCGGTGTTGCCAAATTGCTGGATCCGCCTCTATTCGTGAGTGATGCTCGCAGGTCAGCTACATCGTTTTTCCTCCATTTAACTTTTTATAAATAATCGATTCTCGGTGAGGCAACTTGCTCCACCTGTAATCGATTAATGTCGATTATTTCTCTTATATTTGAAAGGTCACGGCCCAGTGTCGCCAAGTTTTAAGAATTGACAGGAACAGGCTAACATACGCATGATAATCAGAAAGACTATGATGGCACAGTTCCTTGCACATAAAAAGCCGGAAGATTTTAAGAAACCTGTTTTCTGACAAAAATTTGCAGTCAACAATAAATTATGAAAATACCAGAGATTACGCTAATTGCCATTAACTGACCAATTAAAACATAAATCTGCCATAAAATTGATTTAGATCGAGTTGACATTGACTGCGTCGTTTAAGATTTCATCACTCGAATCAGAGTGATTCGGGATTCATCGATCCTCATTTAACAATCAACATTTTTCGACTTATTTATCACGATGAGAAAAATAAAAGGTAGCATCACTTTATTGCACAGAATTAAACGTATAAAAAATCTTAAGCCAGCCTTTAATTGATCAGCCATTGACCGTCCAGGAGCGCCAGGAATAAAAAAAAGTTGTTCTCCGCAAAAAGCGCCAAATGCCAGGGTCTTGCGCCCCCAACTCCTCGATTAAAAGAATGATGTGTTGTGTGGGGGAATAACAGAAAAATCATTTTTATCTGGTAAGATAACACACAATAACTTTTAATTGTGGTAATTTAACAGAGTAAAAATAACACTTTTGGAATAAACGAGCAACTGTGGAATAATCCTAAAAAATATCGGTCACTTTATGACGTCTTTGGTTCCGAGTACAGTATATTAGATATAATGCTGATGAAATGTGGCTTTTGGTAAACTGTATTAAAAAAAGTTTTAAAAAAATATTATGAAAAATAGATAAAAAATTTATGTTTAGTAATTCGTATTTATCCGCAATTTGAGACCAAAAATGATTTTTTTTTATTATTGGAGTGTCGATTCTCGGAGCCCCTTTACATATGTATTATTTCTCAGACCCCATTTGAATCCTTAAACACTACAATTTTGAGGTAGGTGTCGAGGTCTCTTTCGTTGCTTTTGAGACTATTGAGACCCCGTTAATTCCACTGAATATTTGAATTGTGAGTCCTCGGGGGCCCAAATTTCAATCTAGTCCCTGCTTTATCCGTTGCATTGAAGAATTAATACTCTTCTCACGTTATTTCTCACTCCTTCAGACCAGTTCGCCTTCAATGTCTCGATAGGCAACATAAGCGGCTTTGGAGTAGTAATAGTTGCTTGCAGCAGTTTTTTAATGTGTGCTCCCTGATATCATCTTCTTACAATTTGCGGTGCTCATTCTGATGAAGTTGCCTTCGATGATTTGTCTGTGC